ACGTGAAGATTTTATATTGTCCATATATGTTTATTCATCGACTTCATCTTTTTCCACTCTTTATCACCGGTAACTTAGAAACAACAAGGGTATAACCGACTGAAACTTGAGCTAAATGTTATTTACCTAATAATGTCAAAATCATAGATATATCCTTCATTTCTCTTTTTGTTTTGTATATTCACCAAATTTTCCCTTATTTTAATTTGTACCACAAGAGAGGTGGGTGAGTTTTGAGGTTAGATTGCTTAATTAATAAATAAAAAATGATTTCTATTTTGACACATGTGTTTAGCTGTAGTCTAGCTACATCATCATATTTTGGATTGATTTCCCTACTAATACTGTAATACATACATAAAACAATGGATATCACGAATAAACGGTACATTTTCTCTGAAAGTAATATAGTTAATCTCTTGTCTGAAGTTTTCAATACAAAAAGAAAATGACTGAAGAAGAGTGGTTAGGGGGAGATATCAATATGAAAAGTAGAATCAAAGCAACTTCACAGGTTTATAAGAAGTTTGGTTTGACAGGAGAACCAATAAACAAGTTGGAGTGTCAACACAAACAGAAGTGAATGACCATTGATCGGACACTTCATTTGTGCCCCCTATTGCAAGCATCGCCATGAGTTTGACATGTTATCAAGATTGTTTTATTTTCCTTTTCTTTTTTGAACAAAAATTTATTATACTCAAGTTTTGTGTGTGTGTTTGAATTTAATTTTTGTCCAACCGTGAATATTAATTAAGGGTCTGAAACCTAGAAGGTAGACGTATATACCTTCCTCCATAAAACCGAAATCTACTCGACTTGCAAGCTCTAAGATTTTTTTTCACTAATCCTCAAAATGAAACACAAAATAAGACATAAACATAAGATAGTGGTGAAGAAATCCGTCACTAGTTGTCTTACTCAAATGAACGTAAATATCTTGATCCAAAAGTGTAAGAATATTGTAAAGATCTAAAAGCCCAACTAGAAAGCAAAAAAACTTAGGTTTATTAGGTGTTTAGACAAATATACAAACGAAACCTTTAATCCAAAACATAGGGTCAAAAAACACGAGACAAAGCATTACTACAGATTTTTATTTTAATATTGGTTAAGATATATAGCTGTAAAGGTTTTAATGTAATATTTTTTTTGTATAAATTTTTTGATGTAGCTATAACAAATATAGATATAAAATAACACAAACAGAAAAATATTTCAAATAAAATAGTGTTTTGGAAAATAAAGGTGTTATAAATTTTTTTTTTTTAATCTTTTAATTTTAACATAAAACATGATTGATAATTTTTATGGTTGTAGATAAAAATTAAAATTAAAATCACTAGTTATACTCTAACAAATCAATCACCCCCTAATATTGGTAAAAATGTGAATATGGACTCTAATGGAGTCTAACAGTCACCACTTAGAACATATGCATTGATGATATTTGTAAGGACTTCACATGAATCCCAAACAAAAAAATATTAAATTAATTCAATTTGTGTGATTTTTTGTATGGCCGTCTCTCTCCACTGACCTGAGTTCATCAATGACCGCTGGGTTATCAAACTTTTCCGCAATAATTTTGATATATGTTCACTAATTAATTCTAGGGAATTTACCTAAACTACCACTTTTGGGATACACTATTTCAAAACTACCTTAACCATGTTTACCACTAAAATTCTAATGGTTAATGTACCATTGTACCCCTGACTAATTAAACCTAAATCTACTTTTTCTTTCCCACTATTTCTTCTCCGATGAGATTTGACGGTGGCGTGTTCTCTCTTACTCTCACAAAAAGAAAGGAAGCAAAACGAACGTCCGTTTCAGCTTCAATCGATGGGTCAAACTCAGAGTAACGACAGCTCCGAAGTTCTAACGACGACGACGACGAATAGTACTCCTCCTCCTACTTCTAGGAACTCGCCGCGG